AAACAGGCCTTTTTTTTTCAAATAAAAGGCATGAATAGCTTTGGGGGAGGCTTGCAGAGTGCTCCTGGGGGGGGGGGGACAAAAACAAGCAAAAAAACAGCCAGTTTTTCACGAAAACAGGCCCATTTTTTGTCAAAACAACTGCATGCCTAGCCTTATGGAGGCTTATAGAGTGCTGCTGGGGCTGGGGGGGTGTGACCCATTTTTTGCTTATTTCTGCCCTCCCCAGTCCCCAGGAGCTCTCTCAGAACCTTCATAAGGCTATGCACGGCCATTTAGGTGAAAGGATGGGGCTTCATGAGGCAAAAAAATGCTATATTTGATGCATAAGAAGCACCCAGATGTTCAGCCTCCTTTTTGAGGAAAAAAGGTGCATCTTATACTCTGAAAAATACGATAATTGATAAAACTGTACAATAAATATTCACCACCTTATCATTAAATGGCTATTTTAGATAGGATATTAAAAGATTCTATACAATATCAGTTGAATAGAGTAATATTCTGAATTCATGACAATTTGGGGGGAATTATATTCTATTTCAGTTGCCCAGCATGATCAGTCTGTATTTCTGTACTTTAACAAATATTGTACAATAAGTATAATAACACTTCTAAATGTGGAAGTTCAGAACATATATTTAGTGAACAAATAGCAGGATTCTTCAGGGTGCTTCAGTTGAACTCATGAGGTTTTTTTTTTACAAGGGGCTTCCCTGGACGAAAGGGCAAGTAACTAAAGCTAAAGGGATGGTGGGGAAGGGAACCAGGCAGACTGCCTTTACCATTGGGGGGGCGGGAAAGGTAGCAGGCTAGCAACAGGCCTTGCATCCCATTCCCTCCTGCAAAAAGAACACCTCCCACCCACCCCCAATGGTAACGGCTACCTGCCTGGTTCCCTTCCCTGCCATCCCTTTAGCAAGGGGAAGCAGGGGGGGGGAAGAAGCGAGATGCATGTCCTAGCGCTACTAGAGACTGACAGCTCCGCTGTTTTCCTTGCCGTTTCGTCCAGGGAAGCCCCTTGTAAAAAAAAACTCACAAGTTGAACTCATGAAGTTTTTTTTTACAAGGGGCTTCCCTGGATGAAAGGGCAAGGAACACAGCAGAGCTATCAGTCTCCAGTAGCACTGGGACACGCGTCTCACTTCCCCACCCCAATCTGCCACCCTTCGCTAAAGGGACGGCGGGGAAGGGAACCAGGCAGGCTGTCTTTACCATTGGTGCGGGGTGGGAGGTGTTGGGCCGCGAGGCATGCCTCTTTCCTTTCCAGCTCTGTTGTGTTCCTTGCTATTGTGTCGGGAAAACAAGGTACTATTTCTTCTTGTTAAATGCCAAGCTTTGCTTTCATTCTTCTACTTATTATAGACAGATCTTTTGAATTTTATCAGGAATATATGGGGAGCCTTTACCAGAAATCCTACTTGACAAGAATTTATTTAAATCAATACAGAAGTACTGTACCAGGGGGAAAGGTGCTTCAGAGCACATGGAGGCATGAATTTAACATCCAACTGCAGCCCTTTAAAGTAGACCTTTGCCATAATTGTGTGTCTGTCTTCGGTAGTGAAAAGAGTTTGTTTTAAAAACAGAAACTGACAGGGCTACCTTAGAAGCCTTACATACTCTGAAGTATCTTTTTTCCTTCAGAGCTAAAGCACTGCATCATCTTATTTGAAGAATATTCTTTCTGTGTGCTGTTCCAAAAGAGTGGGTGTAAAGCACGCTCTTAACAAGCAGAATGTGCCTTAGGAGGCATTTTTGTATGCTTCCATGGTTTCCCCTGCTTGCTTCATTTTCTTATGTTTCAGTTTGCTGTTAGGCTTTATTTTGTCTTTCTTTTAGAATTGCTTGTCAAGAGTTTGACCAGGATAATTTTTTATCCCCAGGGAGAGTTTTATAGGAAACCCATCAAGTTTGTTGTATTCATTATGCAATTTTGTTTAGCCAGCCTATCAGAATTTGAGACAGAAAGTGGACAACTTTGTATCTACCCATCTGGATAAGCAAGAATGGAACCCAGCAATGAACAAAAACCAACTACGGAATGGGCTCAGACAAAGTGTGATTCAGTAAGTAGAAGGTACTAAATATAAAAATCGTTGAAGATAAATAAGCCCTTATATTTGGAAAGAATTAGAAGAATGCTTCCTGCTGGTTTGTAGGCCTTCATCTATATATGTTTTACCTATTGAGGTGTTACTTAGGTATCTTTGCAGTCTGACAGATGCCTGTGTGGACATTTTGATATGGTGCAGCTATATGTGCAACCAAATGGACATGAGTTTGCTGCCCTGTAAGCTTCTTTAAAAAGACCTGCCTTTTCGTAGGTTCATGCTGTAGTCATACAGTATGAAGAAAACAACAGTCTATAGAGATTCCCATAGACTTGGTTGGATTTTCAAAGAAAAACTGAACATACAGTATATGCAATATATTATACTAATGTAATGTGATGGGGCATCTGAGCATTGTTACAGGTCTCGTGTTTCTAGAGCAAGTGGCTACATAATGGAGGATTACAAACAACTCTTCTTTTGAGAAAACAGCATATTGGTAATTTGCAGCATTTTAAATCTCCTCCTCTTTTATCACCTCCAATCCCAAATAAGACTCAATAGTTTTATCAGTTTAAGGTTGTACGGTGTGCTTTTGTCCAGCAGAGTGCAGTGGTAACATACTTTTTGTACAGTTTCCTGAGTAGTTATTGCACTTAATCAGTTTACACAGCACAGCATGTGTTCTTTGTAAATATATAGAGACTATCCACTAGTTTAATTATATCCTGTGGTTTAAGTAAAATTAGATTTTAAATGCCTTCTGTAACTTTTTAATTTTAATATATTAAATTATTCATGAGAAATGAGAGAAACACATCTTCTGTTTGAAGCATGCAATGAAGAGGAAATAATGGATTACAATCTGTTGCCATACATGTGCTAAAAATGTATATGTACTTAGTAGCAAATATTTTAAAACATAGCCAAGAAAAAAAAAAGAAACAGAATAAGAAGAACTGAACTAAAGTAGAAAAGAGATATAAAAGCTATACAAAACTGAATAAAAATTCAAAGTAACATAAATTAGTGTTGCATATTAAGATGTCTTGTATCAGTTTAAGACTTTAAAACCATTATGGAATGAAGCCAATGTTCATTAATTTAAAAAGTGATCAGTGTAATATGAATAATAAAAAATAACTATTAACTGAAATATTTAATATAAAATTGTATATTTATCAAGCTAAAATTAATATAAAAAACCTATGTTAAGAAAAACCTAAACTTCAGATGTAGTTCATATCCATATGTAGAATTATACAATCCACAAATGTTTTTTGAGCTAAATTATGTATCAAAGTTTTTTTTCAAATATAAGATTATTTTTAACAAGATGGATACTTCCATAGTTTAATTTGCTATTCTTCTAAAGAGGGAATTATATGTGATCTCTAGTAAAAGGCATAAAAAATCTGGGCAGCTGTTGCCATATAAAAAGCCAACTTAATGTATTTTGTAAGATAGAGGTTTGGTAATGTTTAATGAAAACAGTTGGCAGAAAAGAGAATTCAGCCTTTAAAGCCGTTTCATTCTGTAATATATCATCTTTCAAAATTGTTGAGCTTTACACCAGTGCCACCAAATAAAAAAATATTATCTGACCTAATTGTTGCATTTCCAGAAATTTTTAGAAAATATGTCTATCTTGGCAATCTTCACTGGAGTAATATATCAGTGTTAAAACTTATTGTATTAGTTTTCTCTGTGTGTAACATTCATTTGTCTTCCATTTAACAGCCATCCTATTGTTGCTTAGCAGTTGTATAGTTTAAATTCTGTATTCATTTAATATATCATCTTTCATTTGTTCAGTTTCTAATCATATTTCAATAACATCTTCTAAATGAGTCCAACAGATGTTCTCAAATAGGTTTTTCACATATTGTCATAACTCTAACCATTCGCCTTGCTTATTTGGAGGTATCAAAAATAATAAAGTGAATCTGACCATTCTAAAGAAAGGATTTTGAAAGATTTAATCTTTGGGTTTTTATAAGAATTGTCTTGCATTCTATAAAATTACTACACATTAAATGTTCATTTTGTTGGAAATTTAACATTGAAACAAAGAAGAATAATCTGACCTGATTATTTTTCTGTGTTTAGATATGCTAAAACATATGTGCCATAATAATGTTTCATGAAGTTCAAAGATGGTGCCGATAAAGCCCTATTTTAAATTCTAACAGAAGTGAAAGATTTAAGGCTCTAACTGGAAATTTTAAAAATGATTTTTTAATTCAATTATATCTAAATGACTATGGAGATTCTCAGTCATTTAGGTCATGGTTGTCCCAGAGGTGCTTTTTCAAAAGGCAACTGGACTCTTTGTTTTTCCTTGAAGGTTTTTGCTTCTCATCCAAGAAGCTTCTTCAGTTCCCACCTTTATTATTTTATAAACTGATTATCTGGCCATAGACAATATAGCATTTGTGGGTAATGTTATTTATTCATCTAATGCTGTTTCAGTCACAAAATGCTAACAATCTCAGTTATGCTCAAATTGAAAGTCTGTGTAACCAAAAACAGTCAAAAAATATCCTCTGTGAAAATACATTGAAACCCAGCATACTGCTGAAATTTCTTTTTAAAAAAATTAAGGGGAAGTACCACCTCAAACATGTCATCTAATCCCTTTGGAACACCATAATTGATGAGATCCACATCAGCCCTATTTAAATGAGCCCTTAAAACCTGCTACCAAGCAATCAATATTTAACAGTAATTGATTTTTCTGGACATTTTTCTTTTGGTGAGGTAATTCTTTGTTTTTACTCTTTTGTTTTTTACTTATATTTTGTAGGTTGCCCAGAGACATTGGGGCTGTTTATAAATTCAATGGAAAAATTAACAAATGTGGAAATGATCAGATTAGCTTTCTCTAGGAAAAAGGCAGCTAGCACGCTAACTGAAAATCACTTCTAGCGGTAGCAGTGAGAAGAGCTTAAATTCACAAAGTAAAGTAAAGCTGTTACTAGATTGTAATGTTTAATGTGAGAGAAAAAACTATTTTCCAGTCATGGGTTTAATGTGTTTTATCTATTGACATATTTAATGTTAATTTAATGTTGGCTCAAATTAAATGGACATTAATTTTGCCCTATCTTTATATGTTATACTTTCAAATTCAGCACACGTTGAACCCACCTTGCAGAATAGCAAGTCCTCCAGGCCTCATTTGTATGAAATATAAATAGAGCAGGAGCACACACTGAGTTCAAAATATAGTTCAGTTTAGTTTATTAACTGTTGCACAGCTTAATCAGATCAGAGTAGGGCAAAGACCCCTAAGCATTTCTCTTTATTTATTTCGTCACAGAAAGACACAATATAAATAGATCTACAAATAGTTTGCAACGCCAATCAATACTAGTTACCATGAATTTATTCCAAGATGCATTTTGTAAGCCATCTTTATATGTAGATATAGTCAGTTTGGGAAATCAAGAAATTTTTAATCTGAGGCAAACCTTCTTGATGTAATAGAATAAATGCTAAAGAGAAAACAACATCTGTCTCACTAATTCTTAGCTTTGCTTGTTCTGTGATTGTGCATATCCTTTTTCTTGTTTCTTGGGACAAACTATGCACCACATAATACCAGTGGTGAGTTTCAAACATTTTTGGAACCTCTTCTGTAGGTGTGGCCTGCTTTGTGGGAGTGGCTTGCTGGCCATGTGACCAGATGGGAGTGGCTTGGTAGTCATGTGACCGGGTGGGAGTGGCTTGG